ATCGTACTGTAATAATTTTGTATCAGTTGAGTCATGAATAACTTTAAACATCTTCAGGTCATCAGCAAACAAAAGAAATTCACTATAAAGAATAACATCTTTCAAGTCATTTACAAATAGGTTGAAAAGCAATGGCCCTAAATGAGAACCCTGTGGTACACCCGATGAAACTGTGATTGAGGAAGATACTGAGTTACCATATTTAAAAATTGTACTCTGCAGACTAGATAATTTTTATTCCATTTCAGAATGTTTTCTTGAATACCCAAAATGTATCAAATTTTCAATCAGCCTAGTCAAATTATTGGAAAACATCATAAAAATCCAACCAATCTCTCGATTATGAAGGACTTTGGGGATAATTTATCCCCACGCCTCTGACGTTAAAAATTTGAGTGCTTTGGGCAGACTTCTCAATATGATATCAACTATCATTGAAACACACCGATTGTTTGTGACATAAAATTCAGTTTTTTTTGTTTGTATATCATCAATTTTCCGTACTACATACCGAATCACAGAAAAAGTGCAACATCGAACCCAAAAGTTACAGAATATCGATGAAAACAACAAAATCCTCATATTCAGGAGGATGCGAATAATTTAATGAAGTTTTTTTTATTAGTAAGTGGGCTATGCTTGAAAACAGGCAGTAAAAAATCTAAAGAAATGAAATGTTCAAGCCAGTCTCGGATATACTTACACAGTAGGTTGAATGGACTGACGCCTATCAGAAAACAACTACTCCCCTGGCTAATACCACGAACGGCGTTGGATTATATCCGACACAGGCGTCAACGCAGGAATCTTCACAGAAAAGTTCCTGCATATGCAATTGGCAATACAACTGAAAGAGTCGACTTTCAATTTTGGAACGGGCACACTTACAGACCGGTTTCGGGCTCATTAGTCACTCGTCAGTGCAAGATAGTGGCCATCATTAACCTAAAGTCAATGATATTCCATAATTGAAAATCGAAATTCTTTCAGAGTATTTCATTCCTCGTCTCCAGTTAGAGCGAACAACAAAAATGTCACTCCATCTAGTGGACGAGGTATCAACCAACTGCATAAGAAAGAAAAACTTTCTTATTAGTCAGTGGGTTATGCTTGAAGACAGGCTGTAAACAAATCTAAAGAAATTCACTTCAAATTTTCAAGCCTCGGATATATCTACACAGTAGGTTGAATGGAGTGACGCCTATCAGAAAACAACTACTACCCTGGCTAATATCACGAACGGCGTTGCATTATATCCGACAAATTTAATGAAGTGCAAATGTGCAAAGACAGTGATGAAATATGTATGTGTCATCATTCGGTTCCACGATCTAAGAATCTCGTGGTTGGAATTTTTCAAAAAAAAATTAACTATATACATTACGTGTTTTCCAAAATGTGTGAGAAATAGAACGGCTTGTTCGACCCCTTATGAAATTTGCGACTTTCCATTGTGATGGACTTAAAAGGACGGCAGTAAGCCTGAACCAAATTTTTGACACCGTCGCCTCGTTTTTTGCGAGATGAAACATATTTTCTAATTTTTATTAACTGCGACGCACTCGGCTCATAATCATTGTAATATCTCAAAAAAATTATCGTTTTTCTAAACACCGGGGAATAATACGGAACAGAAAATCGACTTCAAGTAATTTATAGAAACGCATCATCCGTTGTTATTAGGTGTTTCGATCACCAAGTGATTATCTTCGAGAGGAAGATTAAACTCTTGAAGATGATCACTTGGTGTTCGAAACACATGACGAGGTGTTGAAATAACGGTTTGGTGTTGGGAAAAACTCCAGTTAAATGCATTACAGTGCATCAAAAATATTCAGTGGTGAAATTGTGACACCAACTTTCTGTTGGAAACAATCTTAGAACAAAAAATACAGATAGTACGTCACATTGTGTGATTTTGTGATTTCCATTTGCTCTAATTTTTTTCAGCTAGTGCTTAAATTGAATAGACTATAATTTTATATTCAAAAATTGTACCACTGCCACAATAGTTCTTTTCCAATATCAATAATTCAATTAGTATCAGTTTCAATTCGGTGGAAGTAATAGTTGATATTTCTGTTCACCGTATTATTTATCTGTGTTTATTCAAAACAAAAGCTGTACTATACCACTAGAGTATGGAGTTATTGGAATATCAAAGTTCATTTATTGAAACAAATATTCACGTTGAATTTATCCTTCTTTCAAGGATACATTTCTTTCCTTTCGAATTGTGAATCGAAAAATCTTTCGAAGGAAGTGAAAAACAGAAAAATTTGCAATGTTCCGACACTAATTTCATGGGATTAATCCGGTCAGGATAAATATTGATTTTTAATTGTCTTGCATTGATGAGTGTGTAAAAAAAATTTACCAGTCCTTGGAATTCAACACAAACATCGAGTTCTCTATTTTATAAATATTTCAATTGAACCTTTCTTCAATTGGTCTAGATTGCCCCTTTCAATTGGTTTTCATAAAGCTATTCCGATTTATTTTATGAAGGCCTTTAATGCTATGATTTATCAAGGTATAGTTTTGAAAAAAAAACGCATTAAGTTCCCGGC